AGCAGCAGCAGCAGTAGCAGCAGCAGCAGCAGCAGCAGCAGCAGCAGCAGCAGCAGCAGCAGCAGCAGCAGCAGCAGCAGCAGCAGCAGCAGCAGCAGCAGCAGCATCACCCCAGCCGTCTCCCTCAAGACCCTCGGGATTGCCGCGCTCATGGCCAAGGCAAGGCTTTTCCTGCCCCTCGCAGGGGACGTGGAGGGGCAGGGAGGAGGAGAAGAGCAGGCTGGGGCGGCAGAGAGCGGGGGAGAGAGGGGAAGAGAGATAGAGGCAGAAGGAACAGGAGAGAGCAGAAGGAGGGGGTGGTGCCTTGGTTCGACCGCATGGTGGCGGACATTGGAGATGAGCAGTTGTTGGAGGAGAGCCTCTCCACCTTCAGCGCCCACATGCGCCGTGTCTCCCGTATCCTCCTCGCCTCCTATCCCCACTCGCCCTCCTCCCCTTCCCCTCCCTCTTCTTCCTCTGCACCTTCCTCTCCCACCTCTCCCCCCTCCTCTCTGCCTCCTGCTTTATCCTCCCCCTCCTCCCGCTCCCCCTCCCCCTCCCCCTCCCCCTCCCCCTCCTCGTCCTCCCCCTCTCCGGCCACCTCCGCCACGCTAGTGCTTCTGGACGAGGCGGGCAGTGGCTCGGAAGAGCGTACACTACTCACGCTCGCCACCACTTACTACGCTGACCTTGAGAAGCTCAGGGTACGCTCTCCTCTGTCTGACCAGTCTTCTAACACCCCCTTATTCCCTTCACCCTCCTGTCTCTGTCCCCTCCTTCCGTCAGGCGGCCGATTCCCGGTTTGAGAATGCCAGTGTTGCATTCGACCCGGTCTCCCTGCGCCCCTCCTTCCACATCCTCTGGGGTCTCCCCGGCACCTCCCACGCCCTCTCCCTCGCTGCCTCCCGTGGCCTGCCTCCTTCCCTCGTCGCCAGAGCCACCAGACTGGCCCGTGCTGCGAGTCTAGAGGCAGGTGCGGATGAGGAGAGGGAGGAGAGGAGGGAGGAAGAGGAGGGGAACGCATTCGGGGAGAGAAGTCAAGGGAGAGAGAGTGAGGCGGACGAGTATGAAGGAAGGGAGAGGGTGAGGAGGTGGGAATACTAGCATCTCTCAAGCATCAGTGGCAGCGGAATGTGGATGACGCGAGAGAAGCAGCCGAGGCAAGGCAACAAGCAGAGAGGCTGTTGAAGGACGTTCAGGCGCACTACACCAGCAGAAGCACCACACAGCAGGGCCAGCAGGAGCAGCCTGTGCATGTGAGGGAGGTGCTGTGGAAGAGATGGTATCATAGGGACGTTCAGGACGAGGTCTTGGCAGCAAGGGAGGAGATTTCCCGCATTGTTGCCGCTTTTCAGGAAGCCTCCCTAGCTGGTGTTCCGGAGCGGGCGGCGACGGACCAGGCATGTGCTGACGTGGCAGCGGTGGCGGCTTTGACGGGCCTCTCTCCCGAAGCTGACTCTGCCGCAGGTTCAGGTGGTTCGGCAGGAGGTTCGGCGGGAGACCCAGGAGGGGCGGACTGGGTTCCTGCTCTGGGGGAGCCTGTGTGCGTGAAGAGGTTCGGCACCAGTATGCGTGGTACGGTGATGGCAGTGGGTGGTGGTCCGGGAGAAGGCTGGGGAGAAGTTTCAGGTTCGGCAGCAGCGGCTCGGTCAGTGACAGTTCAACTGGGGAACTTGAGAATGCACGTGCAGAGAGCAGACCTGCTTCCTGCTGCTGATGGCAGTGGTGGTGGAGAGGCAGGAAGGAGGGGGGGAACAAGTGGGCTGTTTGGCAGCCAATGGGAGGAAGATGACTACAGCAACAGCAACACCAACTCAAATAAGACGCGTGTCTGGAAGCGTGGCGGTCACCATATCAGCATTCCGGCTTGCCTGATAGTATTCCACGTCGTGTCAACCTGCCTTGTGCCACGGGCACGCCCCCCTGCTTACGCTCAGCAGAGAACGGTTGGTGGGTGGGTGCAATGAGAAGCAACGTCAGAGCCTGGCGTGCAGAGCAGCCCTGATAACCGGCAGCTCATTGCCAGCTCGCTGGGTACTCGGTGTTGGAAACAATCGGTCCTAAGCGCCTCTGTCGTGTCGAAACACGAAGGCACAAGCGAAGCAAAGCATATCGAGGCACCAGCGAGTCAACCCTCGGAGGTTGAAGTAACTGCTGGAGGTTACGCGAAAGTCAAAGGTCAGCGACATTTGACCTGACAAATACAGCGCGACAGCAAGGACAGACAACTGACTCGCTACAGAGCAGTTGCCCGAGTCGTCACTGTATCGAACCGCAACAGCAACAAGTAAAACAGTTATAATCGTATCCTTTCATATTCCTTGTACTCTTATATAATCTTGTATCTCTTTGTTTTAAATTACTTACTTTGCCCTCACATACTAGCGCAAGGTGGTTCACAACTCTTTATTAACGCTTCCGCTACTACACCAACTCTACCCAGAGTTCACCCCTGCAAAGATCCTAAGGGCTTTTTTCAGCCCAACACTCGGGTCAAGTAGAGATGACAGGTATGGGTGTTAGTGCTTGATGTGCGTCTGTGAACCTTGAGTTTGTGTATTTGTTCATGGCAATGGTGAACTGTCATTCAGTACACTCCTGGTTACATACCGTAGCTTAATAAATAGATCATTCATGGGCATCCCCACCCACACCAAACACCACTTCAGGGAAAGTAGCGGTAGCTGGAGTAAGCAAGGACACTCGGCAACGTGCAACATGAGGAGCACGACGCGTTTTATTCAGAGCTAACTCTTAGTGGTGGAACTGGGTCCGTGTCAAGGGTCAAGGGGCCAGAAGAGAAGACAGTCCCCTCCCCACTCAACCCATGTCGGGGTTGCCCCTTGCCACACCTCCACTTTGTGCCAAGCTGCCTCTTCTCACAGCAAGCACCCCTCAGGGATTCGCCCCTTGCTTACTTAAGAATCCCTAGCGCAGCAGTGAACTGTTAGCGCAACAAGAAGAAATATTAGAGGCCGATTTGCATTCCATGCCAAAGAATGACACAATACAAAATGTTCTGTAGCCAAAACAAGCTTACCTGCCCCTGGTACTTCTGGAAAGATATCGCGTTCACTCCAGTTTCAAGGCGCGTAACTTCTTTACCGTTGGAGAGCCAACTCATATCTGCGAACAAACGCAAACAAAGTCAGCACCCATCATCCGAAGCAGTGTCTACAAACCGTGGTTAGGGCGACCACACTTACAATATCCGCCAACTTTCCCATTGTAAGCCATCCACTTGTTCCTCCCCGTGAATAGCTTCGCACGGTCTGCATTCGGCATGGAAGCGGATATCTCGCTCTTCACGTGAACAAACTCAAAGGACTTTGGGTTGTCCTTGGGCGTCCATACGACTCCTCCATTGGCAGTCTCGTCACAATGGCCCACGTTGCAATGGAAACTACTACCTGTGAATGAAAGAGACGAACAGAGCACCAACGAGGATTAGCCTTGGCATAGAAAACGGTGGGTGAGGTGTTCCACGAGCTACTCACCGACTTTATGGTAATGCTCATGAGTTCCTTCCGCGACATACACAATGGGATGCGTTCCCATCACCGTAGCAAACTCCTTTGGCTTGGGGTCGGCCCAGTCAGCTCCCGTGTCCCACGCCCACACGGGGCCGCCACCGTGCTGCGCGTACCAAATGCGCTGAGGCTGGCCGGTCTTTGAGAAGCGGATTGCAATCGCCACCAGGTCCGTGATGTGGTTGTAATACCCAGCAAGGGAGTTGACAAAGTTCTGCAAATGCAAAGGATAAAGCAAATCTTGAACGCTTGAAACAGGTTCACAACGTTTCACAGAGGGGTTGGGGCAAACTGGGGGGTGGGGGAGTGAGAGAGGGAGGAGACAAAAGGAAGTACTTGAATCCAGGGTACTATTTGGATTGGAATGCTCACGTAAGGGTAGAAGAGCCAATACTGAATCTCCACAAACGAGTCTTTGTCGTCGGGTTTCGGATTGTAAATGACGGTGTACAGCTTCGTGCCTCCGTTCTTCGGGTTGCGCCTCGAGTCCCTCACCCAGGCCGTATTCTGACTGATTTCACCCAGAATACGCAGGACAGTAGATCCATGACTGGACTTCAGATTCGGATTCTCCAGCAATGTATCAAGGTTGTCGGGAGTGATCGGGCCCGCCTGGTATTTAACCTGATGCTCCGTATCTCCCACAAAATACGAACCCATGGAGTCATACACATGCGTAAGGTACTTGTCGATCGTGATTGGCCAGATGGTCTCGTCGGGGTGGAACTTGTACTGCGGGGAGTACTTGACAGCCAAGTCCTCCCAGAACGGATCACACGCAGGGTTCGTTTTTGGGTCGGTCATGCACGGGTCGGCAGGCGTGGGCGGGTCCACCTTTCCAGCAGGCATGGGCGGGTTGGCGTAGCGGACAAGCGCGGTGAATTGCGTCTGGAACCACTGCCCTGCGCGGGGCGCGCTCGATAGGGCGTCCAGGCCCAGCGCGTCATCGGGGTTGCACTCGTGATCCACAGGGAAAATGCCCAGAAACTTTGTTCTGGGGAGATGAGAGGTTGGAGGAAGGACGGGAGATGAGTGAAGGTGTACCGAGAAGCAGAGCCAACCGTTTCAACATTGGCTCATTGAGAAATGACCCATTGGCAAAGAGGAAGGGACACGCGCACTAGGAAACTAGTACGACCACACCACAGGCGCATAGGAGGGATTAGGTACTTACGAATGGCCATCGCTCTCCCCAGGTGGCTTGATCCAAACCAGAGCATCAACTGCCGGGCAGGAAAGAAAAAGGTGTGCGGGGAAGGGGAGGGAGCCGCATGAGACCACCCAAGGGAAACGCCACTTCAAAACAGGATCGCCAGGAAGAGAAGAGGAGAGAACAGCAGCAGCAGGAAAAAGCAAGGGTGCTCACCTTGCGGAGCATTAGCGGGATTAGGCTCGGGGCGCTGTCCGATCCCCGCGCCCTTCACGTTGCACCACGACCCCCACCGGTTGCGAATGCCAGCGCGGCCGGACCTACTTGTGTCCACGATCCACCTGGTGGGCAGTCCAGCGGCTCCCAGGTACGCATTCATGCGCGCCGTGAACCGGTTCTCGTCGATGCACGGGTTCCAGTCGTAGCACATCTCGCCCGTGCTCGGGTTCTTCACGAGCGGGCACTTCTCCAGCGCCGGGCAGCTGGAGGCGAAGAGCGGGCTGTAGTTGGCCACGTTGGACGCGAAGCCGCGGATCTTGGCGTTCGCGCGGATCTGCCGCGCGCGCGCGAGGACCTTCTTGTACACCGCCACGACGCGCTTCATTCCCTCCGGCCACCCTGCTCATGCATTGGGAGGCGAGCGGCGTAGGAGTGAGGGGCGGGGTGAGGGAGAAGAGAGCGAAGCGAAAAGGCGGAAGCAGGGCTATGGCTGAAAGGGGAGGAAGAAACGGAACGGATTGGCATGAAACGGAACGAACCGCACGCGGCACACGCACTCACCGAGCCAGCCGCCGAAGCCGGAGTCGAGATAGAGCGTGGTGTCGGGGATCTGCGAGAGCTCCGCGATGGCATACGCGACGCCCTCCGTGTACTCCTTGTCCGTCGTCGCGTCGCACCGATTCGTGCCCATGTTCGTCGCGATGTTGGGCAGCGAGTCGGGCTCGATCACGAGCGACAGACGCACGTTCGCCGCCTTGTTTCTAAGGCGCGCCACGGCAACATCGATGTACTTGGTCTTGTACGTGTCGAGGCCGCCCTTGGGAATCTCCCCATTGGACGACCACGCCTTGCAGTCGCGGCCCGGGAGATCGTAGATCACGAATTGCACGAGAATCGCCTTGCCGCCCGCCTGAGTCGCTGCGTCGCTCAGGTGGCCGGGGATGGAATCTAGGGACGCCATCGTGTCGAGCCACACAGCCGTCGCATACTGCGCCACGCTCGCGAAAAACGGCGCATCCGAGGGAAGCGCGGCGCGCACCGCGGCTTTCACGCTCGCCACATACCCAGGGTTGAGGTACGGCTGAACTCCCGTGTACGGGTTGCCAGTCGCGCTGTCGCCGACGCGGTAACCGCACGACGTGCCAGTGGCGGCGACCAGTTCAGTCGCGTTGATGGCCCCCTTGAGCCAGCACGTGCCGCCGTTGAAGGCGCTCCACGTCCAATGCGTGCAATCCGCGCGGCTCAGGCACTGCTGTCCGCACGTCTCGCCCTTGCCGGCGGCTCGGCCGATGTCGTTGCCGACCCAGTCACAGTCGAGCGACCACTGCACTTTTCCGGCCTCGGAGCTTGCGAAGTTGAATGCGGCTGACGAAGGTGTCAGACTGAGAGCCATCAGCACGACTAGTATCGCCCATGCCAATGTAGTCGAAAGGAAACGCGCATACTCCATCGTTCAGGTTTGGTTGGTTGAAAGGAATGAATGAGTTACGAGTGTGGCAAACTCACGGCGGGACCGTCCCTTTTGAACGCCGCCAGGGCCAAGCCGCACTGCGGCTCAGATCGCATCGGAGGCAAGCTCGGATTCAGTTGTGTCCGTCATTCTGCTGTGCGGTCCGAGGGGTGTGCTATGACAATTATTGGTGACACCATAGCGGTAGTGATACCAATAATCTTAGGAGCTCCGCCGTGAATCTCGTTCCCGGCGACGTCGGCTGGTTCGGAAGGAACGATATCCACGGCGAGCGAGACTCACGGCGGGAACGCGGCTGGGGCCACGTCGAACTACTCGCATTGGAGGCAAGATCAACTTGGGTCATTTCCGTCACTCTGCTGCCAACCTACGATCCAAACATACACCGATAATTATAGGAAAAAGACTGCTAGAGCAAGGCACACATTGGTTGGCGCGTGGTGGCGTGTGGTGTCAACAATAGCAGCAACTGCGGGAAGGGAAGGCAAGTGAGATCATTAGTGGAGGAAAACAATGGCCAGAGAGACTGTACATCAGGAATGTTTGATTTGAAGCCAGAGGCAACACAGCAAATCAGCGGTGCGTGTTGGTGCCAGGTGCCGTGTGGCGCGAAATGTGAACATGTTCCGAGCAGATCTTGGGAGCAGATCTGTCGTGGGGTGTCGTTCAGTTGGTTCCAACACGGTTGAGCGCGGTTGTATTTGAATTACCGTTGTAAACAACGCACCAAATTGTACCATCCCTGTACTGCGTTGGCAGGGGAATGTGGATGGTCTCCAACGTGAGTGTAACGAATCTTTCATGCGTAACAGAGTTGGCGAGGGAGGACCATCCTGAGGATGACGTTCGCGATAGGTCGGCAGGCCATCGCCATCTCTTCGCTGCGCAATCCACAGTTTCATTGGTGCGTCGCACACGGGTAGAAATCCGTAGCGAACACATTGTCAGTAATCGCAAACCGTGTGCGATGTTGCCCTGATTACAGTCGCAACTGCCTGCATTACCTCCACAAGAAACAAATCCTCCTGCATCATAATTCGTTTTCGTTCATATGGGCCCAGTTCGTAATTCCGCAACATGTCTAATATCCGAGATAATGGGATTCGTACGACTACATGTCAGGCCCATGCGGTTCCGAAATCTCTCTCTCATTTACTCGTCAACTCCCAAGAAACGTCGCTATCACCATCGTAACCCTCCTGATTCGATCATGAAGCATCACCTCGACCGACCGTAGTGGTAATTCTAACGTCAGCTCGAACTTCGATATATTGCGCGTCGAGCTCGCGGGATGGCTGCAGGATCGGATCGTGCAGGCGGAGTCCCAATTCCGGAGCGGGCTGTCCGGCGCGCCATGGCATTCGCATGACAAGGCGGGAAGTGCCACGTCGCGGGGAACGAACAGCGTTACCAGCGCTACCAGTGCTACGAGTGGTACCAGCAGCGGGTATCTAACGAGCCCTTGGCACATTATCTTAGGATCGTAAACGCATTAGTCGGCAATAGTCTACTTGCTATCGCCTATCGTGTTCTCCACAATCTCCCGAATCCAATGATATGCGCAGCTCTGCTTGAAGTTGTCAATACACACTTCAGCAATTTTCAAATTCTGATTGGTATCAATGTTGTCCAATGTTATGATTTCCAGAATGAGTACAAGCAGTTTTATAGTCACGCAAGACACAAAATGCGATTCGTAACTTCACTTGTTTCCCAAGTAACCGCGTGCGCCTCGTTTCACCTCGAGTCGCAGACGCAACCGAACCGAATTCGGTGAACACACCTCAAGACCGAATCTGGAACCTTCTCGAACACCCCTCGAGCTCGAACCACAATTTCCCCTCGCCAACTTCAATCTCGATGTTTCTTCCACCTTCTCACACATTCCTTCTCGATTTCTCTCTCCCTTCTCACGCCGTAGGCCGATTTCCACCGTTTCACCTAGAATCATCAACGCGCTTCCATTTCGCCGCCATTCATGTGTTTTATGAACACAACCGGTTGGCCAACTGAGCGGTTCAGAATCTTCCACTACTGTTATTACAATTGGAGCTGTCGGAAACTTGGTCTCTTTGCCCCTCCTCTTGCTTTGTCCTTCCCAGCTCAGTACCTTCTTTCTTCTGCCCCTGTCTTTGGTCTCGTGCCAGCCCCTCCCACCTTGTCCCTCCCTTCTCTGTATCCCCTCTTCCTCTGTCTCACCCCATCAAGTTCCTCAACTCTCTCTTCATGCGTTGGGTGGCTACCCCTGCCTTTCCCTCTTGCCCCCTCCTTGGCGCTAACTCTTGCTCTAGTAGGTATCGCCGATGGACCCCTTTGGTGAAAGGCTCTTCTCTTGTCTGCTCCTTCTGCTTGAGAGGGCCTGGGGGTACTCGCTGGGGCCATGCCTTAGCTACATTCGTCTGATGATCCCTCTTCTCTTGCCCCTTGTCCCCCACTAGTACTACCACTCCCGACTCCTTGACCTCTTTCACTTTCCACCTCTCAGTGCTAAGCCCTATATCCAGCATATCTTGCCTGGCCTGCTTGACATATACTTCTTCCCCCACCCCCAACGGTGCCCCCTTCGCCCCTGCCTGCTCTTCTCTCCTTCGTTTGTAGCGCTGTGCGTCTCTGAGCTGGGCCACATGCAGGTTCTCTAACGCTGCTGGCAGCATCTCCCGTAGATACCTTGCCCTAACCTCGGCCAGCCCCACCCATGCGTCTTCCGAGCTCACTGAGACAACATCTGTCAGTACCCGTGGCGCGTCTATGGGCAAGATAGGTTCCCTTCCCAGCAGCAGGTAGTACGGCGAGAAGTCCTTTAGCGCTGCCTGCTTACTGAATCGGTAGCCTGCGACTACCCACGGGAGTCTCATGTCCCAGTCCTTCTTGAATTGTTCCCCGTAAGCTCTCAGCCCTCTCTTCACCGTCTGCACAAACCGTTATGTGAGCCCGTCACTCTGCGGGTGATACCTGGAGGTCCGCCGATGAGTAATACTGCTAGCTTTCAGTAGCTTCTCGAATTCTCCCAAGAATTCTGTGCCCTGATCTGTCAATACTTCCCCACATGCTCCGAACCGAGTCAACACCTGTTCCTCAAATGCCTCTGCTATCCGGGCCGAGCTCTTGCTCGGCAGCGCCTTCACCTCCACCCACTTACTGCCGTGCTCGATCAAGATGAGTATGAACCGCTTCCCCCTTTGGCTGAGCGGCATTTCTCCGGCCATATCTAATGACCACCGAAACCCTAGGCCTCTGATGGGCAGCGAGTGCAGCTCTTCCCTCCCTCTCTCCATCTCTGCTTTGTTCCTGCTGCATAGTTCGCAAGAGCCCACCCACTCTTTAATGTCTCCTCTCATTCCTGCCCACCACCAGCCCGTCTCTATTAGCTGGCTCGTCCTTAGGCTGCCATAGTGCCCCAGCTGCCGATGCACCCTCGCTATGATCTCTTCCCGTTCCTCTCGCCTCGGGACCAGCTTCCATCCTTCTTTAGTGTTTTTCTGGAGCTGGTCCCGGAACCACCGGTAATGCAGGCCCCTGGCTCGGGCCCTCTCGCTTGCAGGTTCTGATTCTGAGGTCTTTCCTTGGATCCACCCCAGAGTCTCTTCATCCTCCCAGACGTCTTCGGCTCCCTTTTGAGCTTTCAGTTTAGCTCCTTCCCTGTCGATTTCTCTCGCCAAAGCCACGAGGCACGCCTCTGGGCTCGAAGGTGGCGGGTTGCGTGATAGCCCGTCCACGTGTTGCAATGTCTTCCCTGCTCGGTGTCGAATGGTGAACTCATATTCCTGCAGACGCATGGCCCATCGAGCGTTCCGGCCGGTCAGGGCCTGATTGGTCATCAGCCACGTCAGCGGCTGATGATCTGTGACTAACACGAACGGTCTCCCCTGTGGGTATACCCGGAAGTGGGTGATAGCCCAGACCGCCGCGAGCCCTTCCCCTTCGTATGAGCTATAATTGGCTTCTGCAAGGTTACAGCTTCGGCTCGCAAAGGCCACCACCCTCTCCTGTCCGTCCCTCTCCTGGCATAGAATTCCCCCCATGCCTGCACTGCTCCAGTCGGTGTAGAGTACGAACGGGTCTTCCTTACTGGGCAGTGTAAGGACGGTCCCTGTCTTCACCGCTTTAAGGAGGGCTTTGAATGCCCCCTGCTCTTCCTCTCCCCATTGCCACACCTGGTCCTCTCGCAGCAACCTGTTCAGTACTGAGGCAGTACGGCTGAAGTTGGGTACGAACTTCCTGTAGTAGTTAAGGAACCCCAGTACTGCCCTCAGAGTACTGCGGTCCTTAGGGGCGGGGACTCGATCCAGCACCTCCACTTTCGCTTGCTGGATGCTCAGCTGCCCCCCTTGTACTTCGAAGCCCAAATACTTCACTGTGCTGTTCCCGAAACTGCATTTCTTAGGGTGGCAAGTCAGCCCTGCTGATTGAATGGCGTCCAGTGTGTCGCTCACGTCCTTCACGTGCTGCTCTGCGGATGCACTGAACACGACTACATCGTCGATGTAGCAAGCTGCCGCCGGCACGTGCCTCAGCATTGAGTCCATCACCCGCTGGAATAGTGCTGGCGCGTTCTTCATGCCAAAGGGCATGAACTTCCACTCATACAGCCCCTCGGGTCCATGGAAGGCCGTTTTCCTCCGGTCCTCCTCCTTGATCGGTATTTGATTAAATCCCTGTCGGAGGTCCAGCGTGCTAAACACAACTGCTCCTTGCAGCTGATCGAATATCTCTTCCGCCGATTGCATGGGGTACCTGTCTGCCACTGTCACTTTATTAAGTCCTCGGTAGTCCCCACACATTCTCCTAGCTGATACCTCTCCCGTGAGATCCTTCCGCGCTGCTACCACCGTCGCCGCTGCGTAATCACTGTTAGAAACCTGGATAAGGCCCGCTGCTAATAGCTCCGCGCACTTCTCCCGGCAGGTGTCCAAGTCGCCTGGACTCATTCTCCGTTTTTGTACGTATATAGGCATCTCTGTGTTCAGCTTCACCTGCAT